CTTTGCACCGCAACCAGCTACACCGGAAGCAGAGTCTGGTCTCTAATGTGATCCATCCAGTCAGCTGGCCAGAACTCAGGTGAGCAGTGGATGATCTACTTCATGACCTAACCAGTCATGAGTCAGGTGTTTCTGGCGTGCAGTGTAGTGTCAAATGTGACTCGGCCGAGCGCCGAGCGAAGGGGAAGGCCCGGACAGCCGCCGCCCGTCGTCGGAGCTCGCAACGGGGGACAGAACTGCTTTGTATCAATCTGATGATCTTCTGATGCAATATCGAAGGGGAAGATATGGGTTACTTTGATATGAATTGCGCGAATCCTTTGACGAAAGTGTCACATTCAGGTGATTATACGTAATGTGATGTGTTCTGCATTCTTTCTCTCTGCATAAGGTATAAGGAGCTTTGGTATGCTATTTAAGTGACATTTGTACCTGTATCAGTATTTACATAGAGCTTACTTCTTTAATCCGATCGGATTTCGTGGCTTTAGGTACTTTAGATGACGTAATGATGAAATGATCCATGATCCTATAAAGTAAGTCAAAGTACAGCAGGCCTGTAACTGCAGAGAGCATCAAGAAGTAGTATTACGAATATGAGGTGCTTTGCAATGGCAAGCACATTGAGCCATAGACGACATCGTGTCTGGTGGAGAACTCGCGTGCCTAATCGTTATCGTGCCACGTGCAAATTTTGAGGGCTGAGAGCACGTGTCAGTCCATTTGCGGCATCCAGACCTACAGTGTTCACTGCGAGCCGTGAGCAGGGTGCACTGACCAGCCGCGGCATCCCTAACGGCTCACGGTGCCAACAGGATGACCAGGTGGGTGACGGTGTCGCTGCGATTTACAAAACACAATCCAATGTGATGTATACCGCCGGGAAGCGCCTGCTGTCAACCCACCCGCTGCACCGACTGGTATCGGGCCGTCCCGGTAAGGCGCCAAACGGAGCGGTATGGCCATACATGGGAGGATTACTCCAGCGTTGAAGGCAGTGAAGGGGTACTCCAGCGTTGAAGGCAGTGGTTGTGACTGTCGCTGGACTGGTGCTAGTGCCCCGCTGGGTCAGTGTTAAAGCCGTGGTGGTCCGACCGTTCTGCCGGTCATGCCGAACAGCCACACCGCCGGCGGGCAGACAGGCAGACAGACGGGGTGGCCGCGGCCAGACAGCCAGGTGCCCCCGCGCCGCGCCAGTCATCCGGCGGTGGTCGGCAATCTCAGACAGGGTCACCGTTCGAGCAGACCGGAGCTCTGCGACACGTCTCAGGGCTGAGCTGCATGTGCAGGCTGTATTGGACAGTACACTGAACAGTGAAGAGGCCAGATTGCATACTGCGGGCAGTCCAGACTGCCTCAGAGAGCAGCCACAGCAGCCTGGAGCTGTATTATTCTCTGCCAGACTATTGCAGCCAGACCACTGACCAGCCTGTCATTCAGATTACTCTCCAAATCAGATTGATTCAGACATATCAGTCTGTTACATATAACTCTCCTCAGAAGACTGTTCTGGAAAGATCAGTCTGTCAAGTACCAAGATAAAAGCTATCCAAAGTCCAAGGCCACCTCCATTGTCCATAGCGGCGTTCCGTCAAGACATTGCACCTCTTGTTGGACGACTTCTGCGCAACATGGCTGGTTCAATTTTATATGCAAGTCGCGCACTGGGGCCCCGGAAAGGAGCGATCCGAACTGCATTTTCAACTGATTAAGTGCCCGTGGATTACAGTCGAATATGCATCGCATTTCTTCTCAATCGAGTCCAGATAAATCTCCGATGAAGACTGTATTTGGCTTTTAACAATGCGCACAACAGAAGGGTACCCAAATCAATCAGACCCTGAAAGTCCTGATAGCTATCAATCTCCACAATTCCGCATACCCTGCCGTAGGCTACCGGAAGTCACCTGCCCAAAGTTACCATACCCGATTAGGCCGGCTGGAGTCACAGCCGTCGAGTCTGGCGGAGTCGTGACTGGCTCTCCGGCCCCCGCGGCGGCCGCTCGGCACTGACCGCGGCTCACGGCCCGGCTCCCCTCCCCTCAGGATCAGTGGCACCCCACCGAGATCAAATTTGCCCAGCTGGTGCACGAGCGGTGCACGGGCGCGCAGCGAGCGCCGCATAGCAGCACACCGCTCCATGGACGGTCGGCCGGGCGCCGCTGTCAGGTGATCGGGCAAATACGGCGGCCAGAGACGGGTTCGGGAGAAGGCAAACAATGTCTGTCCGTCTCGGATCGGTGGTCAGGCGAGCGGACAAACACTGCTGAGGTGCACAGACCCACTGGCTGCTGCAGGTCCGCCAGCTCAGTCAGATAGACGCGTCGGTGATATCTGGTGTGTCAGTTGGAGGGGCGTGGAGAGGGCCGATGTCGCTGGCAGAAGAGTTTGGAGTCGTCCTTGATCGGTCGAACACGGTGTCAAACAGACTGAAGATGGGGTGAATCACCCGACAATGGAGGGCTGTCTGGGTAAAGCAAATCTGAGAGCGGCTGGCGGGTTTGTTCTATGAGTGACTCAGAGATCAGCAATTCAACATTAGAGGTTGAAGATAAGAGATTATAGATTGGAGACTGGAGACTGGAGACTGGAGAGAGAGAGAGAGAGAGAGAGAGAGAGAGAGAGAGAGAGAGAGAGAGAGAGAGAGGGGGGGGTCGAGGGAGGGAGCGAAAGAGGAAGATAGTAGGAGGCGCCCTGTTGGATACCACCCTGACCTCAGCCACCCTGCAGCGCTCCCCTGTCAGCCATTCTGACCTCAGTCCTCAGCTGCCCCATCGCCCCTGTCAGCCCGAGCCATTCTGACCTCAGCCGCCCGAGCGCTCCCCTGTCAGCCATTCTGACCTCAGCCCTCAGCTGCCCCAGCGCCCCTGTCAGCCAGCCATTCTGACCTCAGTCCTCAGCTGCCCCATCGCCCCTGTCAGCCCGAGCCATTCTGACCTCAGCCGCCCGAGCGCTCCCCTGTCAGCCATTCTGACCTCAGCCCTCAGCTGCCCCAGCGCCCCTGTCAGCCAGCCATTCTGACCTCAGCCGCCCGAGCGCTCCCCTGTCAGCCATTCTGACCTCAGCTACATCTGTCGTCGGCGGCTGAGTCAGAGATCTGATCTGGCTGGCAGGAGGGTGGGTCGGCCTGCTGGAACCATCGGCTGCAGACTGTCTGTCGACACTGGCGGTGACAGACCCGTGGCAACGCGCCCACATCTCGCCGGCTGTCGAGAGGCCGCCTATTTCAATGACGTAGCAGCAGTAGAATACGTTATCTTGGTGAATGGCCCGTTACCACCCTAACTTCTTTTAAATCACTTCGTTTGAATCTACTTTACGAGCATGCCAACCTTGCTCCTAATAAACAGCGACTTTGCTACCAACGCTGTCATTTTACGAGAGCATCGATAACCGCGTTACGTCTGACTATTTAATATGACACACGACGGTCTGATTACGTCACGGGTTGGAACCTTGACCCAGAAATGGGCGGCGGAGTCGCAGAGGAGCCTGGCCCGCGGCCCTCCAGACGCTCACTCATGTCCCGACCCCCGGCGGGCCGAGACCACTCACTATCGCAGACACGGAGACCGTTGTTTGGTCTCGGCTGACCGTGGGAGGATCTCCTGTGAGAACTGGCGCACATCCCAGTTTCAGCACGGCGGCTCGAAGCCACTCTCACCACACTCAGTCGACAGACGCTGAGGAGTTACTCAGAATCTATCCGAGCAGTTAGCAGTCATAATCCCTAACTAACGACATGTCCGATGATTGATCGCATTCGATCCACCAAACACAGACCATATCCTGCTCAATGGAGCCCAGAAACTGCTGATTACCGCGGGAAGAGCCGCCACTCATTCAGAGCCAGCCGAATGTCATCATGAGGAGAGATATAGCTGGGTGTGAACTCTGCTCAAGTCGAAACTCTCCTGGAGTTTATGTGAGAGAGGAAGGAGCAGGCTCTAAGTCCATCCAGGCTGCCAGGATTAAACTCCAGCACTCAGTGTGCATATCGTCCAGGAGGCGTGCGACCGGTGCAAACACGCGGGACTCTAGCATCGGGCAGTCGTGACCACTCGATTTGACCCCACAGCGGGCACGGCGCACGTAAGATGCATCACTCCCACCTCGACTGACATGAATAATGGATAGCAGGTCAGCACAATATGTTAACGGACTTTCATCGGTGTTGTGGGACATATTTCCGATTTGTAGCTTGACGTTAGTGGTAGTCGGACTGCGCGGAGCCACCGTGAAATTCGAATCACTGGAGTCAAGTGGTCATAACTCATAACCCTAAAATGAGGACGATAGAAGTTCAGAGAAGTCTTGTTACATAGGAGCTGGCCGGCGCCGTGTCCTATTCACCCTAAATCAGTGCCATACTCCATCACTTCTTCCGCCTATCATCCATCCAACACAACCTTCCTATTAAAGGGACTATCCCACCTTTAACATGGGGTTTGAGTTGAGATAGCCAAGTTTGCGGCGAGGTTAAGAAACCACTATCTATCTAGGTTGCAACCCCCGCGGCCCTTGGTGTTGAAGAAATTCGTTCCCTTCATTTGAAAATGGGCCTTGTACAAGGCCCTATCTTCAACATGGAGCGACCGTTAGTGTGACGTCACCTCGTTTAGTCATTCTGATTTAAATGGGTTTGTTCGTTGAAAAATCGCTTAAAACTTGGTCTGAACTTTGTTGTGGTGCCTACAGAGTAAAAAGAATCAGCTTTATGACAGTAATGTGGCCTGGGGAAGGAGGTAATTTTGGGCTGTGACGTCACATATTTGAAAGTTTGTGTTTGGAATATGGGAAGCCTAAGATGTTTAATGAAAAATAAATGCCAGAACCGTGTTCCTGGTCATCCAATCTATAAAGTCGGGCACAATTTAACTGGTTTTAACAACATTTTAGAAGGTGGGATAGTCCCTTTAAATCCCTGTACCACTTCCGGTTTGATCGTCGCACCTTCGTTATGTCACCGTCACACCTCCTCATACTCCTCCCCATTCCGGTCACACCCCCACCGCTCGCGCCCGGCACAGAATGAAGCCGTCCGACGGAGACCGCTGGCGGCGCACCCTCTGTCGTCGGGCTCTCAGTCGGTCGGCGCCATCAGTCTTACCGGCCCGACCCGGCGTGTCCGACCGCCTCCGAGGCAGCCACTCCATCATCGCGCCGCCGCTGCTGCCGTCCGCACCCCGGTCAAACGCCGGGCCGGCCACCAGACAGCCGCCGCTGCCCCGCACCCCGCGGTCAAACGACGGGCCGGCCACCAGACAGTCACTGCTGGCGGCTGCCGTCCGCACCCCGGTCAAACGACGGGCGATCCGCGCCGCGCGCAGATTGCCCGAGCACCTCACGACACCTGCTCCGATCATCTGTGAGACGCAGCGCAAACGTCGGCAGCACAGGCAGTCGACGTTTTCATCGACCGAATCTTCCGCGCAAGACTTTTTCAGACTTCCACAGCAGCTGGACATGCAGAGGGTATGTAGAAGCCGTAAACTTCATAGTTTCCATGACGGCACGAAGGCCGGCAGCGATGAGGATCCTTTTAACGACCGCCAAGTTAGGAGTAAATTGAAGCCATTGCCGGCGGAGGGGCCGCGTTTGCTCACCCCTTCAGCTGCCGGGAGCTGTGAGCCAACTTCCGTAGCGGACTGAGACTGAGTGGGGCGCAGTCAGGAGTTTTCAGAGCCAGGCGCCGCCGGAAGCAAAGCCGCCATCTCCCGAAAACGAACCTTCTTGTGAGCAGTCCGTCTTATCAGACTATGATCATGACTAGAAGAATGGGCCACTAAGGAGACTCCTATGGAATGGCAATAGCCAGCTCCGTTCTGTGTGGAAGGTCTTTGGATCAAAACAAACTTTCGGAAGTCTTTTTCGACCAGATTCAACCCAGCAAATGGCCATAAACAGGTGCGGCTCGTTTGCTCGGTTACGGGGATTATGGCAGAGCTCGGTCGTGCTGTGCCAGCCAGCGCCCCCGGCTGTACGGACACGAGCCTGATCCGTCTCTAAACAGATTCTTTGGTCCGGTGGCATGTCTACAGGGCACAACCTCGCTTTATGCCTCAGAGACTGGGATAGCCCCAGCGTGTGCACCTGTGCCACCTGGGGTCAATGACAAGAAAGATGGAGATCGGGGCTGCCTCGTCTGGCGGTGCCGAACAATCCTTGTCACTGCCGTGCTCCCTTGAATTGTGTACTTGCAAAACACAGTGTGCTTGACTGCAAGAAAGCAAACAACATAGACCGGACATCTCTTCTTTCAATATTCGTCTTCAACTGCAGACAGTGTTATGTTAAACCCTACTGTCGTAGTGCACCTGAAGTGCACGGAGTACTCTCAACGGTAGCGCAAATACGGGAACGAGTGGTGCGTTTACTTGCTCGGTCATTGCTTTTATCTATACGACCATCATTGCTCAATGTTGGACCTAGCTCAATGCCACTGCATTTGCACTGAAATATGAAGATGATGAAGATGATACCAAATAATATACCTACGTAGTCATCCTTAAGAGACGACAAGGACCTCACCCATTCTGAGGAATAGTCGGAGAGAACCACACTAGCCGGGCAGGGCAGGTGATGTAAGCGGAACGGTACAGTGGCGCACCTTTCTAGGGAATGAATAATGCAAACTACGAGAGAACAATGAAAAAAAAATATCGGCTTCTTGCAACGGAGAGCTTTCGGGAAACAATGTCACATAAATTTATTGCCTACCAAAGATTGCCAGTAGCCACAACCGAACTAAAGTTGGATTTGTTTTCTAAAAGCCGTTTTTTGGAGGTGCTTAATCCCACTTTTTTCTGTTCCATTGTTCATACTTATCCCTGCCAGATGCAGCGAAGCCTGTGATAATTATAACCTGTTCCTCCTGTCACCGTGGCTGGGCGCGGACAGCCATAAATAAAACCCCTCCGTCCGTGGCTCGCGCTGGACGCGATTGTCTGCGGTACGCCGCTGCTGCATGATTCAGCGGTGAGTTACGGCTCCAGTCGGCGATAGACCACCGCCCGTGGGAGGTCAGGAGCCCACGGAGCCGTGAGTTGTGTCAGAAACCGGCTGATAGAGCGCACACCGCACGGCGCCGCGCTCTATTTGAGTTGGCAGGGTGTGGAAAAATGAGCAGCGCAGGCGCAGGAGGACGCGCTAGGAACTGCTCGACCAGGAAGCAGCGTCGTGCCTGACCAGGAGGCACGGAGGGGGCTGGCGAGAGAAACTAGTGAGAGACTGGTGAGGGAAACTGGCGAGGGAGACTTGTGAGAGGTCGGTTAGAGGGGCAATACCACAGGCTGGGGTCGAGATCGAACAGCATCAGCTATAATCAAATCCTGATCAAACTTCAACGGGCTTGTTCTTATTATACCTAGCTACACAACCTAACATACAAAACCAATGAGACTTCTGGGAAGGGCAGCATGACCAGTAATGCAATCAACGTCCCGTGTCATTCGAATTCAGCGATTTATGGTTGAGCAACTCTGGTACGAACCTCTCCTTGGTTGACATATAGACTTTGGACATGAATGCATGACGCAGCCAAACATTGCCGAGGACCTCACAAGGAGATATCACAAGGGACCGCAGTGACAGTCACGGTCGGCCGCCAAACAGGTCAATGCACCGCCCCAGACAGTCTGCACCGGCGGCGGGACACCGTCCGAGAGCTGCAGACCAGCCCCGTGTCTCAGCCGCCGGCAACGGTGACAGCGCGGGTCAGAGCACCGCCACGGGCCCTTGGCTTTCTGCAAATAGTTCCTCGGCACTCTACACTCACTACAGTCTACACTCAGAAGCTACAGAAGCACTGTGCGGTGGTGCTCATTTTTCTACATCGACTTTCTCGGCACTCATCCACACCTACGCGCTGTGCAGACTGCACGTCCTCATCTTCCTCCCACCGCAAGGACTCGGGAGCACAATGTCTCCACTGTGCGCAGAACAGAGCCTCCTCTGCACCGATGGCAGTGTGACCGCGCCTGGCACGGTGCCCACAGCGGCCGCACGCGCAGCGCACACCGCCCCGCGGCACGTGGCCCGGACACCACCTGGAGGTCAGTCACACCGCTCCTCCCGACACGTCCGGCCACGCCGCGCAGAGCGCACACCGGAAGAAACTGGGCCAGCCTGCCAAACCCCTCGGACAGTGAGCGACCGACAGTAAATGTTTCTCAAAGTGTAGCTGTCTGTGTTCTGTCATCACCGTGGTCTTGAGCTGTCAGCGCGGTGAGCAGCTCATGGTACTCAGACCCGGGCTGCAGCGACGACAGACACAATCACAACACGCTCCAGTCTCGGTAGGTCACTCGCTCTTCTGGTGTCATGAGGCCACCAGGAGGCGTTGACTTGCTATTCCGAGAGACCGATCGCCGATGAAGCTCGCCCCCGATTTGGTAAGTTTGAGTGCGGTGCAGGGCGGCGGCGCGGCGCTCCGCACCTGTCACCGTTTCAGGCAGAGATAGGTGACCGGCTGACCAGACAGCCCCCAGCCCCCTCCAGCCCACTGGCAGGGCGCGCCGGGCGGCGGCTGTCCGACGGGTAAGCCCCCGCGCGGCTGATCCGGTGTGGTCCGGACTAAGCTGTCTGCGGCGGCGCCGGTAAAGGAAGGTGACGGGAGCGGTCGGACGCCCACCGGACCCGCGACGTTGGTAACAGACCTTTAGTGACAGACCTGCCCGCCGCTGGTGACAGACCAGACCGCAACAATAAAAAGGCCTGTCCTCAGTCTCGGACTGTCGTTAATGACAGACCAGACAGCCAGTGACAGACCAGACAGTCAGTGACAGACCAGACAGCCAGTGACAGACCTGACCGTCGTGGATGACAGACCTGGCTGCCGATAGTGACAGGCCTCCCCGCGATCTACACGAGCAGCTCGTCGGCGTAGCCCGTCGACCGGTCATGGCACTAGCCAAAAGCCCGCTAGTGATGCTTGCTAACGGTCAGTCAGACTGATCTGCAGAGTCTTTACAGCGCACGAGGCATCTGACTTAAACGCCTCAACATATCATTCTGTAAGAAATGAATATCAAGCACGGTCGTACTTGGTCATGCTTCACGAGATACGATAAATCCTTTTGCAGTGGCAGTTACGATGAATATTTGAAACAAGAAACTTTCAAGAAATTTTCCGCAGGAGTCACGGAAGCTCAAAACTTATTCTAGGAGTTGGATTTTTGTGTCAGCATTTTTATTCATGAGTCTTCATGTTCCTTGTTTCTTTCACGCTTTCGCGCTATAGTATTCCTTCACGGTGATAGTGAAGATCTCATGCAAATTTTGACACATTTATGCCCCTATTTGGCTGTCCTGACCTGACTTGACATAGAACCAAAAAACTTCCGGGACAGATAGGCATCTTTTTATCCCACGTATCCCGTTTTTCGATGGATCCCATGGGATCAAAAGCGCAATCGGCGTTAATAATTAGGCCTGTGACATGGCCAGTTTTACGGAAAGAAAAATCGCCGGCTCCGATTTTTTTCATGCGTATAGCGTACGAGTCGCTCACAAGTAGTACGTAACAACCCACTGGCGGATCCAGGGGATTTGCATTTGGGGTGCCCGAAATCGACGAAAATTCGCGGTTGTTCGAGAATAAAACGAAAAATAAACAACTTTTATGAGGGAAAGTATGCTTCAAACTGCACAGCGGTGCGGAAGGAATCGAAATCCGGCGAGTTTTTGGAATTTGGAGACACTTTTTGGTGGTATGCAGTATGCACCCTCAGCGTCCAATACCGCCTTTATGGGTCTCCCACGGTGTAACAACCTCGCAGAAATATATAGCCGCTTACATGAAAACTTATAAGCTATGTTGGCCGACGCTTCATGCGCCGGTGACTACTTAGTTTCCCAGCCTAAATGGTGAAACTTGTCAGTGTCTTTGACGCTTAAAACAATTACATACAGCCGGCGGCTTTTATGTTGGTAAAACTGGCCTCTTGTGACCTAACCCCAGGTCACCAACTATTTACATATTTTGTCTAGCCTAGCTCACATTCGTAATTTGACTTATCTTTAAAACTCTATAGGTAATCGATACTTGTTTGTAATATACGCCTGTTACATATAAACTTGTCATTAGGGTCAATAGGCACCATTGACCCTGCGAGGTCATGGGGGGTATCGAGGAGGGGGTAAATTCATTTATTTTTGCTTCAGATGTCAAACTTAGAAGGAAAAAGTGGGTACTGGAAATTTTGCGCCTCTGTCTGTAAGCGTTCGGGAACTGTCGCAAACATTCGTATGGGGGGGGGGATACTCCCCCGCGCCCGCGCGGGTCCAAAGCTCATGCATGTGTAGTTAATGAGTGCATTCACTTCACGCTCTAAGGCTATACCGACAGAGCTACTGAACGATGCACGATACGCCGACTCCTATCGACTGTAAAAAACGAATCCTTCAATGAATGTGTTTGTTTTCCTGTCTGAATCAAGGCGTTCTGCAAGATATCGATTCTTGAGGCTTCGGCAGGGGTATTCACCGCTACAGCTTTGCCTCATTGTTCGCAATCTATCCCCCGTTTCACCTTAGTCACTTCACTAGGACGGTTATCAGCATGCAGTGCAAGCACAGGGGAACTGCCCGCTCTATGGGTAAGCAGAAGGACGATAGCGGAGCTGGGCAAACACCGGCGGCGAGCGCTGCGCTCCGGCGGCGAGTGTGGCGCACTGGCGCGCCGGGGTCAGCTGAGCGGGCCGGCGCCAGAGCCGCTCGAACACTCACCTCGAACTTGAACGCCTCGCAGTGGTGAGGCGCCACCGCCGGGTCGTCGTAGATCTTCAGGTCTTGCAGCGAACCCTTCAAGGCAAGCAGGCCCAGAAAGGTGAGCGCCAGACGCAGGAGGGACGTCATGGCTGGCGGTCCTGGTCGGGTAAGGATCACACGTGCTCGGTAGGGTAGGTAAGGACGGGGCGGCTAGATAACGTGCCGCCTACAGAGACCACTGGTTAGCTCCCGGCGGTCACACCACCCTTACGGAGCTCCTGGGGCAGCTACACGTGCGCCGTGGCTGGCTGCGCGCTGGGCATACAGCGTGCGGGGTCAGGTCCACTCCCGGCACAACCCGCCGGCCGCCAGCGCCGGCGCAGACTGGGGCGGACCGAGCCGGCGCCGCCGCCGCCGTCCGCCTCCCGTCGGCGGGGTGGGCGGGGGCGGGGCGCCTTCACACTGCCCGACCGGTCCGCCGCGCCGCCGCTGTCCAAACTCGGCCGCGATGGTAGGTACTGTAGGGTCGCAATGACCGCCCACATTTGGGCGGTCAGTACTGCGCACAGGGGATGGGATGAATAGTGCAGTGCCGCAGTGCGTTTTATATCGCTGGTCATTCACCGCGCACGGATACCTTCGGTCACACTAAGGCGCATACCTGGGTGTGCTGATTTAACTCCGGTCACTCTAAGGCGCATACCTGGGTGTGCTGATCACCGGCACCCTCCTTATTGAGTTTTACGCCGTACTTATCTTACGAAGCTTCTTTCCATTACGAATTGTGTCGAATGCACATGGTTGATTACACCATTACCTGCTCCCTGTCAATACGGATGCGCTGACATACCTACTACTCGGTATCATATTCAGATAGGAACAGTGCCGTTTTTGTTTTTGTTCGGTGTTTGACGTTCCTGGTCAGCATTGAACGAAGGTTGGTGGCCTGGGTCAACTGTTTGTTTTATGCCAAAGTTTTGTTTCAAAATTAGTTGCTTCATCTATTCAAGACTGGTCCATAAGATGAAGAACATTGTGTCCATATGACAGAATAGGTACTGAGGATAAAGTCAAGATTACACTACATATTTCTTAATTCTAGACAATTCAGTTAGACGCATTTAAACACATAATCAGCCTTCATTAATTTGAAATCGGCTCTTCTTTAGTAGTTAGATATGTCAGAAGGTCAGCGCCCGTATGCAATCAACATCATGTGTCTTAGTAAGCCAGTAAGGACAAATGAGCTTGGTTCGGACAACATGCGCGTACCTTTAAGGTACTTTTACCATGGCCAGCAGCACGGAGCAATTAGTGCAACACCTACTTTTGCCATGTTAAACGATTGCCGTTAGACCAACTGGTATACCATATCCAATATCCGAAACTTACGCATGATTTAGGAAGTGCATCGGTCTCCTTAATCAACCAGCCGGCGTCTGTTCGACATTTCCACCCCATGGCCCGCATCTGAACATGCTGACCTCCTGCGCGTCATTTCGGGTGGGTAGTGCTGAGAGGGCACTGGTCAGCTGAGCGCGGCCAGCCCCGGCTGGGATCGGCCTGTCATCGGCAGCTCCCTCATTAACGGTAAACCGCTCCAGATCCGCCGTAATGCCGCGGCACGCTGACCTCATGGTCCTCCTGGGGCGGCCGAACAGGTCAGCAGTCACCGCTGCCGTGACCTGGCCCTGCAGTCGCACCCCGGGCCAGTGCTGATTCACCCCCGACATCCGCCTAGTCCCTATAGGATACCTTACCCAGCCCCATCGGCGCCACACCGTCACCGCCCGCATTCCGTGACCCTGCAGAAAAGGTTTGCCAATAGCTGATGCCTAGGTCAATGCCTGACGGTGACAATGCCTCCGAGGTGATTTTCATCCTCCCCTCCCCAGCGCTTGCCCCGCTCATTTGTTTTTCATCCCGCCACCACTTCTTTAGTGCCTCCATGCCCTTCAATTCATTCTGGTTTGTTTTTCTAACCCGTATGAGCTGTAACTCATTCCGCAGCATCTGTCTCTCCAGCCCTCCGTGCATCTGCTCTCCTCCTGCCCGGTCCTCTCGGTTTCACCCTGCTCCGACCCGCACCCTTCCTCCATCCGCCCCCGTGTCCGGGTGCCCCCAACTGCAGAGCAGCCCTGTCGGGTGGCCATCCCGCCCAGACGGGTCAACAAACCCCTGTCTGTGTGTACCGCCCCGGGCGCCGCGGCGAACCCGTCGGGGGCGCCAGCTCTGGGCGCTGTGGGCGCCGCACAGTTACCGATCAGCGCACGAACAGCTGGAAGGCCGGCCACCGCAGCTTTTAGCGACAGGGTGCGAGCTTGGAAATGCTTAGTGCAAAGGATAGCAGTCTGGAAAATCGGCGCTTTCTTCTTGATTCCAAGGTTATTCCAATAAGTTTTTTTAGTTCTTGATTCCAAAAGTTCTTCATTCCAAATATGTGTTGTTGCAAATATGCATGTGTTGCAAAAAACATTACCATTATGTGTTGAATGCTTTCTCCACAGTAGAGTTGATAAGTTGTCGTCGGTATCATCAAATTCCCTCAATTCTCTCAAGTGTTCTTTTATTCTTTTTTATATAGGAAACGTACACTGCTTTCTGAATTATGGCTTCTACAGATTCCAAGTTCTAAGTTCAACGATCTTAGAACTTGGATCTTAGATCTTAGATCAACGACTCAACGATCTATGTTTTGTACAATGTGGAAGATCAAGAAGTTAATATATTATCCGCTTCCAGAAAATATGCTTTGCTTGCAAGTCACCGCAATGACAGCATCTAAAAAAGTTTCAAGTTTCAACAATACATTGCAACGAGAAAATAAGCAAACAATTATAATTCGTTTGATGACATCTGGCGAGCTCCGATGATCACTTCTTATATGAAGCTATTGAGTGGAGCTCCGTGAACTCATGAAAATATTTCATGATTCATGGTTAAAATAATTGATCAATGCCTATTGTTATGCTGCCTTTTGCAGCGTTTTCGAACAATCTGATTCAAATTGTACAGTCCCGTACAGTCTGGAAAATTGTTCGTTCCAAAGAAGTGCAAAATTGATCAGTGCTTGAACTGCAGCTTCCTGGTCTGCAATGTAGCGGTCGGCCGCCACCTAACGAGACAGCTGGCGCGGCCGCCGCGCCGCCAGTTCAGCCGCCGTCGCTCAGACCATGCTGTTTATGTTTTTGGTGACGTGAGGAGGCGGCGGCCAGCGAAAACTGGATACCGTTGGCTGCGGTCTGAGGCGCCGCCGCAGCATTTATCACTGGGAAGTGCTGCAAACCTGAGTAGGTATTGTTCTTGGCTCAGAGTCGCGGCCACTGCAGTGGCGGATTAGCAGCGAGTAGGTAGTCAGAGTCAAACGCGTGTCAGTGCCAGACATTGTAATACAGCATACCGCCATCAACCGGAGGCGTGCGGCGCCGAGAACGGAGGCTAATATGTATGTCTATGTCAGCGGGACTGTGTCTCCAGGAGGTGTCTACATGGTGTGATCCACCCCACTTGTTAGGCTGCCCTCGTAGATGGGTCTTTTGAATACAGGTGCGCGCTTTGGAAATATAATAAACCATTTCAATTGGCGAAAAGCTCACATTTTAAATAGGTGCGATGTTTAAATCAACATTGGCCAGCCGCAAAGTGACCGTACACTGTAAAAAATATTGACTAGCCCCTCGTCAAATGATTCTCAACGCTAAATGTCGGGGGTACAGACTAGTTTTGCATCCTACTTTTGACACACGCTGCGAGCCCCTGGCTTGTTTTGTGTTCGTCAGATGACAGTTACCAGGTGTCGGTTAGTTTTTACCACGTCCCAAAAATAGCTGGAGCGTTTCTGCCTTGTTTTGGAAGCAGGTCCTCGTTAATGCTGTGTATGATAACAAAGTACCTAGTAACAATAATAACGAAAAACAATGTCAAAACGAGGGCGGCTTGTTTAGTGACGATGCTCAAAAGAAGCATCGTCTTGTTCCTACTTAACGAATGAAGCTCAAACTAGGTCAAAACTAACGTATTGCTCAACCCATAGTCAGATGACCAGCAGATCCTACGCCGCCCAATCCAGTCATCGAATTTGCCAGCGAATTCGTTTGAAGACCATCATATTATTAAATATCGGTGGTCTTCAAACGAAATCCCTTACCAGTTTGATGACGAATTCATCCGGCCCATTCCAAAAACGCTCAAGATAAAATGAAAGTGTATTTCTGAAATAATATGCTTTCTTGCAATGCACCTTTCGTATATCAAGCGAATCTTTCACTTCCAGCGCCCGTTTACAGTTATCAATCGAATCAGAAGCATGCACATACCTATCGATAGATCTGAACCTAAGAACACAGACGACATTTTGTAGAGTACCTGTCTGAGCCTATGCAGTGGAGCCCGTGAGCCGCCCAACCGCAGCTGCCTCATGAACTTGATGATAGGTCTGAACCTCAGATTGGCCAGAGCTTGGCCGTCAATAACCAGCTTATTTATATCCACAGTTGTAGTGACTTAGGGTTTGGAATTTGCCAAACCTAAGTTTTGATTACCAAGAGAAGTTTTGTACTTCTTGCACTTGCCCTTTCTTCATAACTTTGGCGGAAATCGTCGTAGTGAAACTTCAGTGTTCCGTTAGCTGTCGGTTCTTGAGAGAGTTGGCCAGGCCGGACACCGGGGGCGGCTCCACAACTTTCGAAAAATTAAACCTAAGTCCTATTGCACTGCATGGAGAGCAATTCATTTAAAATCGCTCTTGTTCCCCCCCCCCTCGACAACTTTGCAAACGTCTCTGCGCGATTTGGTTGAGAATAATGGCTTATGGCAAGTTATTGAATCAGAACGTCGATCACTGCAGGTCATATATCGGCAAGCAATTCTTCATAACTAGACACTGCACAAATGGAAACGATACAGGTTTGCCCAGTGATAAACACTCGCACTGCACAGACTCGCGCACCCCCGACCGAACGCGGCACGGCCAAGGCCATATAACCGGCACGGCACAGCGCAACAGCTGGCGCCGGGAAGCCGGGAACGCATTAAGTGAAGGATTCACAGGTGCGCAACTTTATTGCGAACAATAAAAACCTACCGCAAACGAT